TTTTGCACCATTTATTCTCCTCTGTTTAGATACAGGAAGAGACAAGGATCTGCAAGGAAGTTCTCATCTTCTGCCACCACCATTTCTCAACACCTAAACAGTGGGAATTCTATAGCATAGAGGGTTTTTTTAAAGTCTCAGATTGAGAGGTCCTCTGTTAAGAACAGCCACAGGAGTTCTGAATTTTGATAAATAGAATGGTCTTGGTCAGAATGCAGCTGAAGCTTTGGATGCTGCCAAAAAAAAACTCCAAACAAGCTCAAAACAGCCAATACATGACATTTGAAGAACTGACCCCAATCTCTAGACGTTGACCTTAATTGTATTACTCATCCGACTACTACAGAAAGCTCAAGAAACTGTAGAAGATCCCATCTTTGATAAAGGCAAAGAATGTAGTCTTCTAGCAGAGCAAATAAATTGGTTCCTATTCATTCAGCCTCCTCAAGTCTGCTGGGACACACAGAAGTGAAAGCTTCGAAAATATGTGATTTAATCCCACTAAATCGATGCCCAATGGAACATAAAAGTATTTAGGTACAGTAAAAGGTGGGCAATAGTGACCTCTCCACAGAAATGGCATGATGCACTATTCCAGCTTCCCCCAATAATGTACCATTAAGTACCCTCAGGTACATTAACGCTGCCGTTAGCACTAATGTTGTTGGCATGTATTGAAAAGATGGGCTGGCCTTGGGAAATTTTTCAAATGCAACATCTGTGAGAGACCAAGCCATATCTCCAGACCATAGATTTTGGGCCAAGCATCAGCAATTCTTCTAGTGCTGGGAGATGTTTGCAAATGTTTAACATCTGAACAGAGCAAAGCAGAATTTGTGGCAGCCAAGAATAGCAGAAATATACATGTGCAAATCCCACTGTTTCATGGGTTTCAAACCGGAATAACAGACAACCTGTTCATGTGCCTGATTGCACAAGTGAGACCCTCAATTAGCCACAATTAGCTGCAGCAGGTTATGCAAACCTTGTGCGAACTCCAGTAGGATTCTGGCCAGTGTGTGCATAGTGTAAGAGTATTTCTATCCTCTCCATTGGTACTTCTTGCAGAAACACTCTAAGGTTGGTGTCAAAGCAATGGAATCTCATTCCTATGCTAGTCCTTTTGAGTAGGAAAATGCCAACAATTTCTGTCATTATAATACTACTCTGAACAATACGGTCTTGTTGAAAGAAGCAGACATACTTTTATGAGCATAAAAGCAGTGTCGTCCAGTGCTCCTGGGGCGGAGATCAGAAGACTATCATGTCCACCAGCTGGCAGGAACAGATGGCAGAGCAAACAGTTGGTGGAGGAATTCATGTTGTTGTGATTTTCCTAAGGACAGACGAGGGAAATAAACATGTGCTTTCCCCTAATACCACATTTTAGTACCAGCCAGAAAGAAGCTGCAGATTAGCAAGAAATAAATTTATGATTGTTCATTGATTAGAAGTAAATGCAGCAAAGGGCCAGGGGACCTCAGACTTGCTTTGTTAAGACAGTTTGGATTAGGCCAAGAGGTGCTGCCTAAGCTAAAGCAGCAAATGATGCCCTTCCGTTACCTACGCCAGTAGGTACAACACCCAAATCCAACATACTGTAGTTGTTTTAGTACATGTGGCAGAGAAATCAGCACAAGAACTTCCATCCAACCCTGGCAGTGGGGGGGAAACCCAGTAAAAAAATCAAGTAGCTAACATTTTCCTGCACTTTCATGGCCTCCAAAACCTGTTGTCTGAGCTGACCACCCACTGTCCATTCTTATTACAAATTCCATGTACAGTCGTGCCCCGCTTAACGATTACCCGTATAACAATGAATTCGCTTCACGATGATGTTTTTGCGATCACAACTGCGATCGCAAAATGATGTTTTATATGGGTTTTTGTGTTTTTTTGTTTTTTGCTTACGAAGATCGTTTCTTGCTTTGGGAACTGATTCTTCGCATTACGGCGATCAAAACAGCTGATCGTCGGGTTTTCAAAATGGCCGCTGGGTGCTCAAAATGGCTCCCCGCTGTTTTTGGATGGATTCCTCGCTCTACAGGCACCGAAAAGGGCCATCCCTATGGAGGATCTTCGCTGGATGTTGAGTTTTTTCAGCCCATTGGAACGCATTGAATGGTTTTCAATGTGTTTCAATGGGCTTTTTTATTTCGCTTTACGTTTTCGCTCTACAGCGATTTCGCTGGAACGAATTAACATCGTCAAGCAAGGCACCACTGTACTTCCACATGGGACCCTTGCAAATGATCATCTCCAGGAAACAGTTGGAGCACTATTGCACAGATCTTGCATGATGGCCAGGAAATAGCTTAAACTAGACCACACCACAAGCAGTCCAAAATGTGAACTATATCGCCATGTGATCACACCCTTACAGTGTGATTTCCTGCTTGTTTTCTCAGAATTAAGCCCTAGTTAGAAATGGGTATGAACCACCATTTTGGTGATTCATCCCAGTTTGTTTACTGTCACAAAAGCTATTTGGCTGTTCAGTGTTCCACCCCCTTCAAGGGGCACCCAATCAGAAGCAGCACCTGGAGGAGGCGGAGCAGAGAAGCCAGGACACCACTTCTGAGTGGATGCTCACTGGAGGGGGCGTGGCGCTGAACTGCCACGCACCTGTTGCAGTGGTGAAAAATGGAACATGCCCATCTCTAGTCTTAGTTATTCAGCGGGCTTGCTCTGTAGTTCATGGGCTGAACACAGTGGCATAAACAAATGTTGAAAATAAACTATTGATTGGCAACCTTGGTTAATGTTTTTTATTCTCAGCTTAATGGTGTCTTAACATGCTCTTATGCCCTTTAATTTTTGCCTTCTAGCCTTATATAAACGTAATTGCTTTTGCACAAATATTAAAACATTGGCACTGCATAATAAGCAAAATCCTCTGAATTAAATGATTCAGAAGTCTGAATCAAAAGGCCTCCTAGGAAGTTGGAAATGCTTTCCCAAGCATGAAAATAAAACACGTTGCTTCAGGTACCTTTTATATAAACGGACCAAGATAAACGTCTTTGCTGCTTTCTTAATAAACAAAACAAAAACAAAACAAAACAAGAAAAACCCTTTCCTTGACCAAATAAAATATTTTGCACTGTATACTAGATCTTTGTTCTGTTTTGGCCTTCCAAAACTAACATGAGCTTATTGGTGGCTGATGAAAAGCATCTGTGGCCCTTTTCTAAAGCCACCTGTTTTCCATCTAAGAATGTGCTCAGAAGTCTCCTATGTTTTTTTCAACTAAGGGAGGGCCCTAGTCATGCAATTCAGATGCCATTGTCAGTTTAAATAACTCCTTAGGTCACATTTGCTTTGAAGTGATAAGATGAAAGCTCCTCTTCCCGGTGTCAAGCAGTATCTTTACCAAGGCCAGTTAGAAAGAACAAAGCTAGCAGGCGAAAGGAAGGATCAGGACCATATAATCCTTTGGCTCTTCTCTGGTGCACAACAGTGAAGGAAACACTGGGGTACATATTCATGCTTTTCTTTTTTAGCAAGGTCTGTTTGGCTGTTTTTAAGAACTCTTCTTATTTTTAAGTTAACAGCTGCTTGTCTGTTTTTATTATTGATGCTTTCTTTTTTAAAAAAGAGTGTGTTTTAAATGAGTGTTTTGAATATATTTGTATTTTTTTGTTTTTTAACTGCCTTGCATGTTGTACATATGGCAGGATATAGATTTTTTTTTAATGTGCATAAAAATGTGTCTTTTCTGTGTTAAGAACTCTTCTTATTTTTAAGTTAACAGCTGCTTGTCTGTTTTTATTATTGATGCTTTCTTTTTTAAAAAAGAGTGTGTTTTAAATGAGTGTTTTGAATATATTTGTATTTTTTTGTTTTTTAACTGCCTTGCATGTTGTACATATGGCAGGATATAGATTTTTTTTTAATGTGCATAAAAATGTGTCTTTTCTGTGTTAATGTTTGATGTACATATGGCAGGATATAGATTTTTTTTAAATGTGCATTAAAATGCGTCTTTTCTGTGTTTCCTCATATGCAAATGTATAGGCGTTCTCAATGTTTGAAGTAAGCCCACTTCTGGACAAACAAAGACCTGCCAGCTACAGCTGACAGGATTGCCAAAACGTTAATTGTTCTAAGCTCCAAACTGTGGTGGTAGCAAGAGCTTATACAAAGGTAGAATACAATCATCTTAAAACAAACATCAAGATTAAGAAAACATTCCAAAAGTAAAAATGTGTGTGATGTTCCATCAAGTCATTTTTGACTCATGGTGACCCCTAAGACATGCAACAAGTGTTTTGACTCATGGTGACCCCTGTAGTGTTTCTAAGACATGCAAGAAGTAATTTTACCAAAGCCAACCCCCATGGCCAACCAGGGATTCAAACCCAGGTCTCCTGAGTCCTAGTCGAACCTCTACCTACTACACTACAGAGGTTCTCCAGAATAAAAATAACAATGAACAAGATAAAAAAAATGTAAGGATCAGCAAAACCGCCTACATGTTGGGACCATCCTTGTAGTCATGAGCGTATGGACTATCATGATGCGCATTAGCATTCAACTACAATAAGGTCTTCCCACCAAGGACAATCATTTGTTGATCTTCTACATAGTGTTATCCTGCCACAAGTTCAGATCTTACCACAACCATCACTTAAAAAATTAACACATCAATGTAAAATCACTCCAATTTTATGGAGCAACTTTGTACAAACTGCCATGTTAAACCATCAGGTGGCAGGTAAATTAAATATTTTTATTTATGTTCAACTGTCCTGATGCAGTGCACATTAGAAAGAGTACAATGATATTTAGAGATAAAAAATAGTATAAACTAATATAGTTTTCATAATGCATTGTATTCTGCATAAACACCAGCAGAAGCCACAACATCAACAACAATTTGTGTAATTTAAGTGAACATACTTACAGTATAATCCTATAAATGCCTATACACTGGAGTTCTATTCATGCTGGAGTGAAGAAAGCCCCACTGAGTTCAGCGAGAAATAATTCCAGGTAAATGAATTTAGCCCTAGAGTCTTACTTTCTTTCCCATCTCTGTACACATTTGAAAATACACAGAATTTGATAGAATGAAATATCTCCAGACAATTTCTGTTGAAAAATAACAGATGTTTAGAACACATTGAAGATTAATATTTAGCCTTTTATAAAATAGCAACTGATTATATAAACTAAATCTCTTCTGGAAAAAACAGGAAAACTTCTGTTTCATATAATCTGCTTTTAAAGAGGAATTATTTCAGGGGGTCAGGTGGGAGCTTAGAAACTTTGCACACAATTGTTTGAACCTCACCTTATGAGGCTATCTTTTCCCAATAAATATTCTTTACAAAGGTGATAAATATATAGTATTTTGAAGGAATTACAGAAGTGAGGTTGATGCAATACTGTATGTACTGAAATTATAAGGCACGATTTTGGTTAAGTACTTTAAAGTTCCTTTGATGTTTTTAATGGTTGGGTCTACCACTGAATACCAGTTTGTTTTAATAGGATTAGACTTCTAACTTTTGCTTTTGGAAGTACAAATATCCATGAACAAATATTTTCATTACTACTCTGTCCTTTTGGGGTTGAAGGTCATTATTACCAGACCTCCAGGCAAAGGTTTTCCATGGCAACCTCTTCAGACCTGAACAAGTTGTCCTCCCACCATTCATACTGGCCTTGACAAGCAGACTCAGCTTAAAACTACCAGGATCTTAAAAGGTTCCTTTTTTTCTTTCTTGAATCTATTTTTTAAATCCAAAAGTATGCTTTGAATCTTTTGTCAGGACTGACATCTAGAATATTGTCCTCTCGTAAAAAGTGAAAACTCTATTCTCCTTGAAAAACCAGACCAGTCAACCCTGACCTCATGTCTGCCAGGTGTGTTGGATCAGAACTCCCATCATCCTCAGTGCCAACATCACCATTAGAGAACAAAATCCTACTGAAAATCAATGAGTTGACTCCATCTTAGGGCAATTAGTCATGAATATGTCAACTTCCATTTTATATAACCATCATACCCTTTTGTTCAGCTTTGTCTGTTTTCTCGGTGGTAATTTCTGCACCACTCCAATGCAAAGTGAGAAAAGTAAAATACTAATGGATGCTAGATATCATCTTTACTCATTTCCTCTGTTTCTTTGGTTACATTTTGTTTTGTTCCAGGATAGCTATGAAGAAATCCATAAGATGGATAAGCTAGTTCCACGTTCATGAGCAATGTGGTTGACCCTACCACGTACACAGTTGAGAGAAATAGAAATCATCGTACCATTATGAACTTTGAAAGAAGAACGCAGGCTAACACTGGTCCAAATGGCTCCTTCTGGCATTTGACCACCAACCTGCTGTGCAACTGCTTTAGGTTGTCCACGATCACTGATAAGCTGATTCAGAGTCACTTGGAGCATATTACAGGAATGAATCAACTTTAAGGTAAATGCAACACTAGCAACTCCCCTTTCGTTGAATACAAAATATTTGTGAGCATATTGTCCAGCAGAAATGAGATGGATTTGTTCTTCACTTGGTGAGACCTGAGTAAAATCCAATAATCTGTTTCTAACAGCACCTGTTGGCAGCCCCCTTATGGAGACCAAGGCTGAAAGTTCGGTGGAAACCGCGGATGGGATCCAGATGAGGCTAAGCATGCTAATCCCAGAACTGTCTCCAAAATAACGAACACTGCATTGTGCTGGGGACAGGATTTCAAAGCTGAGCAGATCCCCAGCTTCAACTCTGGTGGCCCCAGAGGCAGATATTGTTGTGTCTCTGTAATTGACACCAGACTTATGCACAGTCATTAGTTCTGTATTGGTGCCATTTCTGTTGAGGTAAGACGCCAGGGAAAACCCTTCGCGAATGCAGGTATGACCCATGGAGTATAATGCTTGGTGGAAAACAAACTTCACAACACCCGTTTCAGTAAACCTGATGGCTCTGCCATCGTGGGACAAAGCCAGCATGTAAGGGTCGGAAAGAGAAACCAATTTAAAGGCTGGCCGATAGTTAGTTTGGTAGTGCACAGCAGTTGATGTTTGGGCTGTCATCGCCACTGCCCCGGTGTCATGGGACAACCAAAACAAACTGAGAGGTGCATGGAGGTCATAAACGTTTAAGTCTTTGCTTTGGTTGCAGAATTGATTAGGGCTTTTCAAAAAAACAGAAAGAACATGGCCTGGTTCTACCTCCGTAGCGCTACTCAGAGTTACGCTCTGCAAAATTTTGCCTTCTGGCTGTTCAACACGAACTCCGCTCAACTCGTAGTCTTCTTCACTGTTGTTGAATTTCAAAGAAAGGTGGAGGAAATTCCTACAGTTGTGTTTCACCGCAAAATTGAAGTCAGCCCACATTAAGCCGTGCTGTTTGAACAGCACCCTGTTGCCCTCCACCGTCACTATATTGCACTTCTCTTCTCCCTTTATCGTCAAGTCAAAGCCTGGATAAACTTGAGAAGCGCTAGACGTTGCCAAAGGGAAAACAAGGTGCGCCGCCCATGACTCCGAAAGCTTGTTTTCACTGGCAGTTGAACAAATGGTATCACTAACAAGAGTACAGGGGAAAGCAACTACCCCGTCTTCACACGTCAGGCAAGCTTGGCACTCCAGCACCTCTTTGTTGAAGAAATATTCCTCTCCACACAATCCCAATGCAGCCTCTTTTTCAGCAACACCCAGGCATCGGAAACCTCCTGTTCATGGGAGGAAAAGACATTTTCTGTTACAGGCCCATATTTTAGTCCTTTGTTACAGCGTTTATATCCTGTCTTTCCATACCCCAACAGAGCCAACCCTACCATCAGGCAGAGTGACACAGTTGCCCAGGGAGCAGAGGCACTGGTTGCAATCCAGTACCAAGTTGCAACTAGAGTAGGCTCATTGAATCAGTATGGATTTCATGAGTAAATTTCTAAATTCAATTTATTCGTCTGATTGTGACTAACTCCTGTATTTTAGCCACAAAATAATAGATCCATGAATGACTAAACCACCAACTTAGGGTTTAGAGCATAATATTTTGGAAGACTTGTGGTAAAAATTTTAAACCATAGCATCAATATGTACTTCCAAAGTAGATGTCACCTGCTGCAGAAATCTACTAATTAAACTGTATTAGTTGAGCTCAGCAGATAGAACAATCAATTACACGTACATATGTTTTGACTACAACATACATCATCCCCATCAAGTAGGGACAATGAAATTAGTAGTCAAACACTTCTGGAGGTTACCAAGTTGGGGAAGGTTTATGTGTTTCTAACATTATGTGCAAACAGGCTAACATGATAAGCTCGTTTCTTCCCTTTGCCTTCAAAGGGACTCAAGAACAACTGCTTCATCGGGATCCAACCTAACATAATTTTAGGTGCTTCGCACTGTGCTGTGAGCAAATAGTACCATTTTTTGTTATTCCCAGCAAGGCAGTCATTTACCTGGAGTGTTTAGGCATTTTATTCTTTCCCCACAGATGCTTGGTGACTCAACGCATTCATCTCTATCCTAAAAAACAACAAAGGCATGTTCAAACAAAACTCATTGTTTCCTAAGGAAATTGTTATATCCCCAACTAGAAATTAGTACACCAGTTACACAGACTTGAATACCAGATTTCAGAAAATACTGAAATAGTATTTATCCACAGTAAGTCTCAACTAGAGTAGGCTCATTGAATCAATAAAACTTAGAGGAGTTCCACTGATTCAATGGGCCTACTCTAGTTGCAACTTACTACTGGATTTCAGCCAGTGGCTATGCCACTGAAACATACCATTTTCAAAACACACACATACACAAAAAAACTTCTGCCATTTTTCTTCAGCTCTAAACTTACCTGTTCAGAAATCATACATTTGGGGAAGATTTCCTTTTTGATAAGCATTTTTGCCCAAAGTTATACAGTTTGACCCCCATATCTTCAGTGGATCAGTTCCAAGCCCCCACCCAAGGATGCTGAAAACTGCAGAATGCTATTTTAATAATTAATGCTATACATAGCATGGTCTCTGGTTCCCTCTAGTAGCCAGTTCTGGTAACGTCATCGTTAAAAATATATATATACTGGAATTGTGGAATGTTTCTTTTAATATTTTTTATATTTTCAGACTGTGGATAAGTGAATCAGTGGATTCTGATCCCACAGATAAGGGGTTCCTACTTTATACTGAAATAGCAATTAACTGCCTTTATCCAGAAGGAATACTCCAAATCCTGTTCTATTCTTTGACTACAAAAGTATAGAAAAGAATCAGTAATGTGTGGCCCACCACCTATTATTGGACTACAGTTCCCATCATCTCCCAGCATTGACTATGCTGGCTTAGGGCTGATGGGAATTGCAGTTCAATGTGAGGACCAGACATTTCCAGCCTTGATATACAGATATATTAGATAGCAACAAACCCAGGAGATCGCTGGAACCACGGACAGCATGGGTACCTGGAAAGAGTGTACCTCACCCCCAAATTTTGGGGAGAGGCAATCCCCTCTGCCCTGCTCATACACTGCATTCACATGGGAGCCTCTAGGACAGTGGTTCCCAACCTTGGGTCTAAACTCTCAGAAGACTTCCCCACTAGCTGTGCTGGCCAGGATCTCTGGAAGTTGCAGACCAAGAACATCTGGAGACTCATGGTTGAGAATCACTAGTCTATGGCCTCAACAGCTGTAGAAGCTGTATTTGTTTTCAATCTTTGCTGTTCTAACCATTTATGAACCAACCACCCTGCTACTATTTGACTGTCATTGAACATTTCAAATACTCGGAAATGTTGCTTTGATCAAGTATGAGCAACTGAGGTTGCATCTTCTACAGTCTCTCAATGTTAGCTCTGCTGGCTATGGCTGATGAGATTTATAAGCCAGAAACAAAGGATATCCCTGACCTAGAAGAAATATGATCTAGTAAGCATGATTGTCTCCTGTTTTATTGATCTTGCAGTGTGAGATGTTTAAAGAAAATGACAGACAGAAAAGAAGAGCACATGCCATCAGCTTTTATCCCTATAGCATTGGTGAGGAATGTGTGGCCTATAGATTTTTATGTGTATTTTTGCTTACAACTCCCATCAGTCCTACTTAGCACAGCCAATGATGAGAGGTTATGGTAGCTGCAGTCCAAAGATATCTAGAGGGGATGTCTCACACTTGTTCTGAAACGCTGATACACACTTAGTGAAAGAGAAGCACAGAGGTTCCTTTCCCAAGACAACGCACACAGCATCTTGGCCCAGTTTTCAGAGTTTCCCTTCAACTAGCACAAGGAAATCCACTTTGCTGACCCAACTGCATATGCCTATATCAACATTTAATGACATCCAAAAGCATATAGCATCAAAACACGATGAAGGTTTTGTTTGTATTTTAATCTTTTTGGAGCATTTCGTTGTATAATGTCAGAGTGGGCAAATTCTGGGGGCTTGTTGCCCAATGCAGATGGCATAGGCCCAAAAGTGCCCCCCCCAATGGCCACTTCAAAATAATCAAATAGGAAGTGGTCAACCACTTCTAGAATCTTTTGGCTGGAAGTCTTGGGGGAACCTCCAAGATCCGGGGGGGAAGGACATTTGTAGACACTTTTTTTTTTGGCCAAAACAGATCTATTTTGGCCAAAAAAGGAGAGTCGAAAATAAATCAGGGCTCAGGCGTAGCTCTGAGGGCCGCAAACATGCTCCTGGAGGCTGCGTGTAACCTGTGTGGCAAACTTTGGCCTCCCCTAATATCAAGACATTAAATGAAAACTCTTAAAGTTTAGAGCAGGAGGATAGCATCACCTGGCAGATCCGATCGGCATTTGCAGAACATTCAGACAGCTGGAAAAAGCCGGCAGGGCACAAAGTGCATCTTTCACACCGAGAGGGTGTCTTCTGGAAATTGCAAAATTCACCACTTTCACAAAGGCCACAGCCCATCAGAGGCTCCCCAATCACTTTGGCATCAAACTCAATTTTATGGCCAGAGTAGGACTTGTGAAGGTGGCTCCTGAGTTGGTTCCGAAGGCCTTGTAGATTGCCTTCAAAATAGTGCTGGAGATCCTCTTGCAAACCCTTCAATGACATCTGCTTCACAGTGTCAAAAAGCATGCCATACTGGACTTTTATCAGATCCATCTGCTCATACATTTTCCTCTGTTGCTCAATAATTTCTCGCTGCTGGGTAACCAACGTATTCTGTTGCTCTGCCAACTTTTGCTGTAAATCCATGATTAAGGTCTGCTGGCTTTTGAGAGCTTCAACAAACTTCTCTTGTCCTTTCATGAGCTGAAGCTGGAGTACAAGGGCATCTTCAGATGGGACTTCATTTTCCCCTTAAATACAAATTGCAACATGACAGACAGAGAGATAGATAAATAAATAGGAGATGAGATATATGATATGATATTTGAATATACAATAATTGTTTACAATGAAGTGGAGAACCTCTGATCTGCCTCTCTAAAAACTGTTCTCAGTCTTGGATATGTAAAGAAAACTTTTCTCTCTCTGATCATTGACTGGAGATAACGGCGATTCTCTTTGTCACTCTCAGGTGGAGCTTTGAAGAATTTACTGGATAATGTGCTTTCCTCATTTTAATCCTATTCCCTACATAGAAATGGGGCAACAAAAGTGAAACCAGAGCCCTCAGTAAACATTGAAAAATAACAGCTGAGAAGGCTTCAAACCATTTAGGGAAAGGGTGGGCCCTGCAACTACACTCTTAATTGGCCTGCTGGCATGACCAGGATGACACCACTAAATATGGCTGCATCCTTTATTTGGCCCTGGGAGCACTGCATGGCACACCTGCCTCCCCCAAAACAGATCCCCATCTCTGGATGGTATCATACTCTTGAAATCATGGGTTCCTAATCTTGGACCCAATTTTTTTAAATTGGCTTATTGGGTATTTGTGTGTCAGTGTGCACACTTTTTTAAACAGGACATCCAGTTAGTTGAGACCTAAGGGCTACTCAGTTATTTCCAAATTGGATTGTTGTGCTTTGTTGCTTTTAAATGTGTTTTTAGTATTGATTTTTCCCCCATTTTTAATAAAATGCTTGTTTAATTCTTTTTTAGTATCTGCATACTTAACTGTTTTTAGCTTTTAAATATTGTCCTTTTCATGATTTAAGCTGCCTTGGGTCCTTTTAAGGAGAAAGGCGGGATAAAAATATTTTAAATAAATTCCTTTTAGTGTAAAATAAGCATGTGGAAAGAAGGAGTACAGTGTCCCTCATTAACTCCCCCACTTATGACACCTTCTTAGGCATCAAGAGTGATGAGTTGGAGTTGCAGAGAGTTTCTGCTCTCTGTTGGGGATCTCCCACTGAAGTTGCAACCCTCAGAAATCAAGGTTGAGCATCGCATGGTGAACCTTCACTGTCACTCATATGCTCCCCCTTCTTGCATTTCTCTTGTACGTGGCAAGAAACATCTGAATAGGGCTTTCCTCTGCCCACGTGTCAACCCTGCTGGAAGCCATGGGAAAAGCAGCTCAGGAGCACAGAACCTTCCTACAGCCTTTTATACCTGGCTTTGCACCTACCTGGCTTAACATCGCAAGTCAGCTGGACGCCCAGAGTGGCACTCCCAAGTTCAGAAGCTGTGTAGGCAAGATCTTCTCCAACAAACTGGGCTGCCCTCTCAGTTTCTCTGACCAGAGAGGGCTCGGGACAGCTTCCCTCCTGGTTTGGGGGGCAAGGGACAGCCTGGATAGCTAGCCTCGGCTTCTGGCGAAGACGTGGGGGCAACCGACACTCGATGCCTTTGCAGTTCCGTAGGGTACCATTGGGAGCCCTAATGGCACAGTCTCCTCCTCCTCCTCCTCCAAAGCAACTCTCTGCTGTGTGCCTTGTGGACAGAGAGCTGTGTTCAAGTCTTCCACCCACAAAGGGTTGCTGCTGCCGCTGCCTCTGCTCTTGCTGGAGGGAAAAGAGAGGTGGTGGCGGCTGCTTGCTCTGTGTCTGCCCTTGCACAGGGCTGGCGGGGTGAAGAAAGGCACGGGATGTATGCCCAACCCTGCCTGAGCAGTGAGGCCCCTGGCACTGCTGTTTGCTGGGCGGATGCTCATTGTTGCTGTTCCTGCTGCACAGGGGGCTTCTGCAGAGCTGAGCGCTAACACATCCTCCTTCGCCTGTCAGAAGCCAGAAACAAACTCCTAGCCAGCAAGAGCAAGTCCAGTAGGGCGGTCTCACCAGCATCTCAAGTCACAGCTGCAAGAATGAATGAATGAATGAATGAATGAAGTTATTTATTTATTTATTTATCTATTTGTTTGTTTATTTATTAGATTTTTACCCCGCCCCTCTAGACAATGTCTACTTGGGGCGGCTTACATAGATAAAAACACATCAATATAACATACAGTATATAAAATCCTAAAGGATACAATTATAGCGATTAATTCTGAACAATACATTATCAAGATGGCATAAATATGAATGAATGAATGAATGAATGAATGAATGAATGAATGAATGAATGAATGAATGAATGGTGTTTATGCCTCCATTCTTACGCTCTCTCTACAGTTTATCAGTGAAATCAAGACATGACACTCGCCACCCCTTGGGTTTAGAATTTAAAAAGACAAGACAGACAAAGAGAAAGGGAAGAGGATGGAAAAGGAAAGAGAAAGCTCAGGAGTCAGCAAGCCAGTGAAAGAGAATTTTTTTGACCCTGCTCATATATGGGATTTTAAAAACCTCTCATACATCAAAAACCCTTTTAGGTACACTACAAGTCAGAAGCAACTTCATAGCACATTATAGCAACTACCTTTTGGATTGTGAAGCATGCCTGTTTGATTGTTTAGGGAACTAACAGATAGAAAGTAATACAGCCAACATACAGAACAGTAAATAGTGACATGCTTCAACAACATTTCCTCATGGCGACTAAGAAGTAACAACTTCTTTCTCCAAAACCGTGCTCTTTGGAAAAGCAGTCCATCGATTTCATGAGAATTCACTTTTAAATGCTTGGTAGGACTGGCCTGTTGGAGTGAAAACAAGATTTGAAAGCAACCCTTCCTAAAAAAAGGAGATCTCTCTTTTTTGCCACAAATATTTTCTTCATTCACCCTTATTAGGACAGACAAGGCCAGATTCAAAAAACTGGGTTGGAACTGCTAGATACTCCAGAGACCCACTGCACAGATATTTCGGTGACTGGCGTGTCACCTGAATAAGATATAGCCAGTTTACACGTACTGTATACACACCTAATCTTGATTGAGGCTGTTATTCTAGACTATTGATCTGGCCCACCCAGCACCCACTTTCTGAAAAGACATCAGAAGACAAATAAATACCCCTTTGGTAGTTATCTAGGTATTAAGTCAAAAGTCATTTAAAAAACACACAACTGTCAAATATATATTCGGATTCAAATAATCCTTTGTCTCTTCTTTTGTCAGTGGAGTTTATAAGCGATNNNNAAACGCCTCGGGCCCCCCCCTCCCCCCCCCCCCCCCGGAAGGTGCGGTCTTGCCCCACCACAAACTTTTACTTTCAAACCACATTTAAAATGAACAAAAGCAAAAAGCGGCCAAGTCTTAAGGAAGCCACCGAGCGCCTTACCTAAAGATAAGGTGCCGATGAAGCTGGGGAGGGGGAAAACAACACAAAACAAAAAATAGAAGATCTATCGCGTCTTGGATCCGGGGGTTAGTCGCCGGATGAATCAAAGAATGGAGAGGGGGCGGAGAAGCGGGGCAGGGGAAGGGCTGGCCCTCCAGCCGGGAACGGATCGCCTTTGCCGGCGCCTCTTCTGAAAACCTGGCCGGGAATATGAACGTGGAGCTTCTCTGGAGCCATCCTTGGTATCCGATTTCCCAAGCACCTCTTTTCAACGCTTGAAACTCCCGCAGAGGCAAAAGGCAGCCAAAGGGTTAAAAAGAAGCAGCAGCTAAAAGATCCTTCAGGGGAGGAGTTGCCAGGAGAGAACGGACCCGCAAAGTTTGGGGGAAGTTACTTTTATGAGGCTACCGATCCCAGGATCCCAATAATGGCCATGCAGGCTCCACGATCCTGAAAAGTGTGTGGGGGGGGACACCTAAGGGCTTTTCCCGAGCACAGCTGGCATCTCTTGGCTCAGAGAGAGTCGGGCACGCTCGCCAACGCGCGAAGGCCAAAGATGGACTCAAAAAGTTCAACCCTAACAGCTTGGGGAAGAAAGAAATGAGGAAGACCGAATCTGAGATGGATTGGCTCCTTTAAGGAACTCGGGGCTGTGGGTTTGGGAGAGCTGAGCTGTTCATGAGTAGACCTTTTGGAAGCCACTAGTTCACAAGGTGGCCATACATCGGAAGCAACTTAAAGGCACAAGGCAATAACAGTAATAAGAACCAGTATTTCAAGTGCTTCTTACTGAGACCCAGGGTGGTCCAAGATCTTTTGCTGCCTGAGGCAAAGCAAAACAGCAACACGTTCAGTAATAATTTGCTGTCCTTTCTGATGCTTGAGGTTGTCACCTCACACTGCCCTGTGATAAAGCTGACCTTGCTGGAACAGTGTACATGTTCTGTGTACAAAAGGTCTTAAAGAGACCACCCAAACGCTCCATATTTGAAGGGAAAGAGCTCTCTTCTTCCAACCCAACCCGCTCTGCTTCTCAGACCTTCGAGGGGTCGCTTATGGAAAAGACCATAGCTTTCTTCAGGTATTATACCTGGAAGTATGAAGGCTGAATGGCTGGTGAGGAAGTGGCATGCTCAGAAACACTCTTGATTTCTGCCCTTTGTACTTTCAGGAGTATAGTCTGAAGAGGGTTTTCTGTGCTGGAGGCCTTGGCAAGGCAATGACCATCTCACATGGCAAAACTAGGCTTGAATGGAGAAATGGTCTGATGTAGTAGAAAGCAGCTTCCTGCATTGCCTTAAAAGGGAGTGAATGCTGTGACTAACCAGGCATCATCACTCAGTACCTGCATGAAGACAGGCTCCCTTCCTTGAAGGGGCTGTGTCTTTCCACAGGCTGGTATAATATTTGCCTCGAGATGGTTACACACCTCAATTATATTTAAGAAGTGTGTAACCTCTTAAATCCCAGCCAAGAACACGAGATGTCTCTGATACATATTGGATCCATTCTAATATCACTGTTACCTTTGGAACACATTCGCGGATGCCAGCATGCTCACATGTACACACCCAGCAAGAATCCTACAGGATTCAAGCTATGGTTAAATATTCCTTGATGTCCTGGACATCGGAATGCAGATATCTTCCTTCTGGATGAAATGGCAGAAATCTCTGTAGACTTTTCTCCCCTCTGTACATTTTGCTGCTCATCTTGTCCCCATATGGCTTTGTGAAATCATTTTCCTACGCATAAAAGAATCATTTTTGAACTTAGTCCCAAATACATGGAAATATATTGACTCCATGTGAGTTACAGACTCTGGACTAAGCTCTCAGTTTATCAAAAAAAAAACTTGACAGTTCTGAAGCAATACAGTATATGGACAATCTGGTTTCTTTGACTAGGAAAAAAAATACAGAATGCAGAGAAAATGCCATAGGGTTTCAGTTCTTTAAACAGGTAAATATGCTTCATTCCTAGGTCATTCCAACAGGTAGCCAATATATTCAAGTTAATGTCAGAAATGTAGTCCATCATTCCCCTTCAGTTAACTCAGAACGTCTAAACAGATGACGACAGCCACAACACACATAGAGTATATTGACATCAGCTCTTTGGTTATTATCTTAAAATATGTAAAGGAGGATCAAGGCCCAGGTGGCCTTAGATTGGTTTGGATAAACTCACCATTATAAAGTAGAAATGTATGGTGGTGAAGCAGAACATGTATAGTTCTTCTGATGGACTATCTGCATACATCTGAAATGCTTATTGTTTCTTGGGATTTTTATATAGCAACCTATCTCTATCTCTACCACACAGACACAGAGGTTCAAACCAGATACTATAGTAAACCTGTGCGTCAATATGTGAATCACCTGTCCCTTGCATCCAGAAAGGGAAAGAGTCCACTAGATCAGTAGTCCCCAACCTTGAGCGTCCAGATGTTCTTGGACTTCAGCTCCCAGAAATCCTGGCTGGCAGACGTGGTGTTGAAGGCTTCTGGAGACCCAAAGTTGGGGACCACTGCACTAGATAAGAAGAGAAGGCTCCTCTAGATGGTGCATTTGTTTCACAAATTGTACCTGAGTTTTTTCCTAAGTTCCTGTGTTGTTTTTCCCCTGCTGTCCAGACAATGTCAGGCTTGAACTAGTGTGAATCAGTGACAAACTCTTGACACGAACGAAGGCTTTCCATGACAAATTGTACCTGAGTTTTTTCCTAAGTTCCTGTGTTGCTTTTCCCCTGCTATCCAGACAATGTCAGGCTTGAACCAGTGACAAACTCTTGACACGAACCAAGGCTTTCCATAGCAAAATGTCTCACTGTGGAGCATGGTTCTTTTTGTCCCAGCTTGCTATGGGGGCAGGATTTACAGATATGGCAGCTTCCTGCTCGGAAGGCTTCGCCTGAGTTTTTTCCTAAGTTCCTGTGTTGCTTTTCCCCTGCTATCCAGACAATGTCAGGCTTGAACCAGTGACAAACTCTTGACACGAACCAAGGCTTTCCATAGCAAAATGTCTCACTGTGGAGCATGGTTCTTTTTGTCCCAGCTTGCTATGGGGGCAGGATTTACAGATATGGCAGCTTCCTGCTCGGAAGGCTTCGAAGTCTATATTTAAAGTGCACAACAAACAAACAAACAACAACACCAAACATCTCCAGGACTCTTCCTAGTGAGCAACTGCTTGCTCATAAATTAAAAACAAAATGAAAAGCAAACAAAAACAGTTCAAGATAGTGCTGTTACAATCCAAGTTTTTCTATTTGGATGTTGTGCTCTGTTGCTGTTAAATATGTTTTTAGTATTGATTTTTCCTGTTTTTAATATCATACTTGTTTAATTTTTTAAAAATATTTGTATACTTATTGTTTTTAGCTTTTAACTATGGTATTTTTAAGGATGTAAGCTGCTTTGAGTCCTGTTAAAGAGAAAAGTGGGGTAAACACACACACAC